GACTTTTTAAATAAAATAGAAAATCTTGAAAATATACTATTTTTATAAATTTCACTGTTTAATCTTCCTCCCCTCCACCTTTTTGATGAACTGTTTCTCTTCCCATCAAGCTTTAAATGTTGTCATGAATCTCATTAGAAGACTTCAACTCTTCAACTACAAGTTTCTTTTTTCTTTCTTCAATTCTCCCAAGTCAAAAAAAAAAAAAAAAAACCTTGATAAGGTGTTTGGATTTTTTACAGTCTAGTCATATGTAGAACTTTGTGTATGTTCTTAAAACATTGACTTATTTTAACTGTTAACATTTTTACTCAAATGCAAAACTACAGAAATTGATATACAAATGTCAAAATAATTAAACAGTGAAAACAATGTTTTTTATAATACCTGAGATAGATTATCTGTTTATAGGCTTTTGTCCCATGTTCTTTGATGATTGATTATAAACTAGTTCTGCATCTCATCTGAGCTGTTATATAACAAGTTCAAGAGTAGAAGCTGTGTTCTTATCTTACATCTTACTAGGCCTACGTTTTACAATGGTAGAGAATGACTGAGGCAGGTGTTTCATTTGTGAAGCATTTAGATCAGTGGGATGGTGGATATCACAGGTTCGCTCTTGATTGTTTCTTGAAGGTGAGCTTTTCTACATTATGAGAAATGAACTTTAAAAGTAAGTCAGTTATGCTGTAGCCTTTTGGTAATCTTTGAGACTAGAAGAGTTTATTTAAAAATTTGTCTCCTTGTTAAACAGAGACCGTGACAGTGTTTGCCATAGTGTGTTGTTAGCCCTCAGCAGAAGGTTAAGTGGCTTCCTCTGTACCCAAATCTGTTGCTGTGAAGAGTGTCTGCAGTACTGCGTCCACCTACCCGTGAATAGGCAAAGGCAGACCTGCACCTGTGGGATTAGGTGTAGCAGCAGGAAGTAGGAGCGTTTGCGGCATATAATTAACAAGGGATTTTTTTCTCTTGAAGCAGCGTGTTCATCTTGCTAGGTTAACTAGTAATTAATGCTTGAAAAAAAATCACTGGAGTCTGCACCCTTACTTAAACTCAGTCACCCAGTGATGTATTCGATTACTGATCCAGCCAGTGTTAGAGGAACTCACCTTTAAATACTTCATTTTCTTCCTCAGTGATTGATTTCTTTATGCTCAGGGGGGAATTTTTTAAATTTTTGTGTCTATTATAACTTGTGAACTAAAATCTGTTCTCTTCTGGTCAGACTTAAAATAACTTAGGAACTTTTTGATTTAGAGATGATTGCATTAATAAGCAAGATGGAGAAGTTAGTGCTTAATGAACTGAAGATCTCTGAAGATCTCAGAGGTTTAAATAGAGTATGAAAAAAAAAATCATTTACTCTCCCTAAATGGTATTTATATATGAGAGTGCTGGCGGTGTAGGTTTTTTAATTGTTATTTTCTCATATTCATTAAGGAAAGTATAATTTAATTACCAATTTAGAAAAGATTTCTAAATATAACTCTCTAGGAGACAATATTCTTGATAAAGTCTCCTGCAAATGGGCCATTATTGAAGATCAACAGCCACCCCCTTTTGGTAAAATAGCTAAGCACCCCACCCACTTGTAACTGGACTTGTAACTATATATTCTATTTCTACAGATCGATCACAGGCATTCTTTTTGTTCGTACTTTAAAATGTGCCCAAAATCTTCACACTGTGCCTGGTTTGACTTTTTAAAAGCTACTTTCTTTCCCCATAAGACAAACATTTAGTAGTGGAATTAGAAGCAGTGCGTAAATTTCAAAATGTGTAAATCCTGCCATAAAACAAGAGTCCTAGCACAAAGGAGCACTGAACCAGTGATAATGTCCTCTATCCAAACACATTTGTACTGTATGGAGAAACTGTTTAAAAGGAAAATTACATCTTTTTCAGCAATTTATCAGAGATAATTACCCTTCATATACCAAATGAAGGATAAAGTGTTTTAAAAAACTATAATTCTAATTGGTAAATGTCACCAGCTGTTGCAGTTACTCTTACTTGTGTATATTCTTTTAATGATTATAGTCTCATGCCACAAGCTACATGAAAATATATTCACTAGGTGTGAAATTCCCATATGTCACAGTTTCAAGAATAAGTAAACAGCTCAAAGATAAAGGAAAAAATAATGCTAATGAGGAATGTAAAAATTCTAGGTTTTGTTTTCCAGGCAAATAGATCTTAATATTCTAAAGGGGAAAAAATATGCAACTTCAAAAAGAAAAGAATTTGAATTTCTCAGAACAAACTTTTAAATGAGCTTTATCTCACATGCTCAGGCAGAGACTGTCGTGCCCTTAGAAAGTCAGAAAAGTCCCAACTTAGAACATTTCAGTATTTTGTCCCATGAGTCAGCCAGTAGGAAATAGCTTTTAGCTTTCTTTTAGGTTTAAATTGTAAAGTATCTGTTGGGTTTTGGTGACGACAGATAAACTTCATGGAAAATGTTTTATATTACCTGATATTACCTTGAAATTGGTCCAGGAAATCAAAATTACCCTGTTGTCTATGGCAAAAGTATAAAGTATTATTTCCCATTCTTCCTGGCCAGAATTTCCTCTTCATTGAGTCTGAAGGGTCCAGTGACTGGATGGATTTTACTTCTCAGTAAAGTATAGTTTTCCTTTGAAAAGCAGAGCTAAAACTGAAGTTGGGTGGGAAGAAAGGGGAAGGCAAGCCTCTTACTTGTCTTTGCTTCCCCTCCTAGGATAGCTGTACCCAGTGTGTTGCTATTATGTGTATCATGTCGTCTTTCCAGGCACCTGACTGAAACTCAGACACTGAGATAAATTGGTATTAAGTATAGAAAATTGTCCTCATGTCATTTTCATCCTGTGGCAGTATATTTTCTGAATGTTCTCATTTTCAGTGTTTTGACAAAGTTCAAGAAGCCCAGAGAGAGATACTTATTTTATGGGTTAGCTGCCCCCTCAAATATCAATAACAGTAATCTGTATGATTTAACCTTCCTCTGCATTTGAAAAAATTTTCCAGCATGACCACCCCACAAAAAACCCCAGAATTTTCTCCTTGTAGGTGCTTAGACTTTCAAGTACTGTTTATAAGAATTTTATAGGAAAATAAGAACTGAATTTGTTAAGTTGCTTCCTTTGGGATGGATGGATAGATAGATGGATAGATAGATTTTTGAAAACGAGACTAGTAA